CTCTTCAGCTTGAGGGGAGTGCTCTACCACTTGAGCCACAGCACCACTTCCAGCTTTTTCTGCTTATGTGGTGCTAAGGAATTGAACCCAGGGCCTCATGCATACAAGGCAAACACTCTACCACTGAGCCACCCTCCCAGCCCCGACTTCTGGCTTTTTTCTCTTATGTGGTGCTGAGGAATCGAACCCAGGGCCTCATGGAGATCAGAACCCAGGCCAGCCTCTACTACTGAGCTACCTTCCCAGAAGGGGCCTGCTCGGTATGTTACCTTTTGAATTCTTATTTAATACTTAGGTCTATATCAGTGGTTTCACCATTTCATAGATGAGGAAATCAGGCTCAGAGCATACTTAAGAATACCCAGATAGTAAATGCAGAGCACAGATTTGAACCCAGACTGTTGCATTCATAGCCTATGCTTTGTGAAAACAAACAAATCTGTGTCATTTAACATCATTCAAAAAAGAAAAAAGGAAAGAAAAACATGCATGGTGGCTCACACAGGTAATCCTAGCTACTCAGGAGACTGAGATCTGAGGATTGAGGTTTGAAACCAGCCGGGGCAGTAAAGTCCATGAGACTCTTAGCTGCAATTAACCACCAAAGAGCTAGAAGTAAAGCAAGTGGTGGAGCACCAGCCTAGCATGAAAAGGCTAAGGGACAGCACCCAGGCCCTCAGTTCAAGCCCCTGTACTAGCACACATGTACCCACACAGATGCACACACAAGCACACAGAAGGGGAGTGATTAGAATGACTACATAATTATCTGCTTATATTCAAAACCTTTTGAGATTTGGATTTTCTAAAAGTGTAAAAATAAAACAGTATTGATGTCAGGTGCTTGGTTGGTCATGCCTGTAATCTTAGCTGCTCAGGAGGCTGTGATTTGAGGATCATGAACTGAAGCTACTCTAGGCAAGGAAGTCCATGAGACTCTTATCTCTAGTTAACCACTTTCTAAAAATGCCAGAAGCGCCAGCACTGGTGGTTCACGCCGGTAATCTCAGCTACTCAGGAGGCTCAGATCTGAGGATCGCAATTTGAAGCCAGCCTGGGCAGGAAAGTCTGAGAGACTCTGATCTCCAATTAACCACTAGAAAACCAGAAAGCACATTCTCTGTCAGATCCTTATATTTTTTATGATACCATATGCTACTCCTTTATAGCATAATTTTGTAGTTGGACCTTTATTTACTTATTTTTAAACTGTCTCTCACTAGACTCTTAGCTTTCTAAGGAGGAAATTAGTTCATTTTTATCTAGTCACATTCTAGTACTTAGCTAGGCATTTGGTTCACAGCCAGTACTCAGCACCTAATATTTATTTTAAAAAATAAAAAGAAAATAATGGCATTTGTAGGGAAATGGATAAAACTAGAAAAAAATTATTTTGAGTGAGGTAAGCCAAAAGCAAAGAGACAAACAGCACATGGTCTCCCTGGTATGTAGATGTTAAATCCAAAATGTAAGGAGATACAACAAAGTAAACAAGACTCTAGAGACAAAGGCCCTCCACTCATCTGGTTGTATCATTACTAAACGACCCCATGCTGCTGATCACGTATATGGTATATATGTGCACATTGGAGGGAAACTAGGAGGAGGACACAGAAACAGAGGGAAACAGGAGAAACAACAATGGGACCCATCAGCTGCACTGGACACTGATCAAAAAATACTAAGCAACTCAAGGGCAGCGATGGGAGGCGGGGAATGAGAGGGATAGAGGGAATAGGTAACCAAGCAAAAGGAAAGAAATGTACATAGCACCCAATGTGGAAGAGGTAGCTGTATTGTCAAAGCTCATAGAACTCATAAACGTTATGGACCACCATAAAGACAATTTGCCCCATGAAGGTTAGAATGTGTTTGTGACTTTAAGTATCACTATCTCACAATACTATGAAATTTGTGAATAATCACTTAATCACAGTTTAAAAAAATAAAGAAAGAGAAATAAAGGAAGACAAAGAAAAAAACTTAAAAGAAGGAAGGAAAGGAAGGAAAAGAAGGAAAGAAAACAAGTGCTGGTAGTTCATGACTATAGCCACTCAGTAGGTGAGATGCGAGGATTGTGATTTGAAGCCAGCCTCAGGCAGGAAACTCATGTGATTCTTACCTCTAATTAACTAGCAAAAAGCCTGAAGTGGAAGTTGTATGGCTCAAGTGGTACACAAGCAAGGGTAAAAGGCTCTTAGTTCAAACCCCAATATCAGCACCAAAAAGAAAGAAAGAGAGAGAGAGAGAAAGGAAGGAAGGAAGGAAGGAAAGAAAGACAGACCTATAGCCTGGTCTGTACTAGAATACTCTAGTCCTTATTGGTCACATTATGTGTCACAAGATGAAAAATGCTCCAATCCTTGCCCTCATGAAAGTTATCTCTTCCCCTCACAAGTTTACTTTGTAATAACTTCCTAGACTTTTTTTTTTTTTTGTCCGTCATGGGGCTTGAACTCTGGTCCTGGGTGCTGTCCTTCCACTCTTCAGCTTGAGGGGAGTGCTCTACCACTTGAGCCACAGTGCCACTTCCGGTTTTCTGGGTTAATTGGAGATAAGGGTCTCATAGACTTTCCTGCCCGGGCTGGCTTTGAACCACAGTCCTTAGATCTCAGCCTCCTGAGTAGCTAGGATTACAGGCCTGAGCCACCAGCTCCCGGCTCACTTCCTAGACTTCGAGAGGGAACACCTAATTACTTTACCACCAGCATCACCAGCATGATCTTTCATTTGATTTTAGAAATAGATACAAAAGGATCAATAAGATACTTGTCAGAGCACATTTAAAAAATGAATTCTGCATCGCTGTTCATGGATTTCATGATCTACACTCATCTCTTTCTAGTACTCTCATCTATAAGTTTGGAAGAACGGAAGAGCTCTGGACCTGAGATCACTGCTTGAATCACATTTTCCTTTTGTTAGATTACATTTGTAGCTATGTTTTTATCTCTCAGTATAATTTACACATTGCCAAATGAAATTGTACATGAAATGTTTTTGTTTCTTTGCACTTTTATGCCCCAAGTTTTGAAATCATTTTATGAAATTCATCTTTTTCATGACCAGACTGTTAATGTGTACATAATAGATGATATACAGACTGGAAGATGAGTATCAGATTTTATTCTTGAGACTTAAAGCTTGATGGTCTGTTCCCAGAGCCAGGGTCATGTCATTGTGCTGTTTCAGAGGTAAAGTCTCCATATTTCTAATGTCTAAAGATGTACGAGAAATAGAATGCCCTATAACTAGAATAAGCACTGAGTTACTAAAGTATTTCTGCAAGTTGTAGTGTATTTTGGCTTAAAAATTAGATTTTTTTTTAAAGGGAAAAATGTATGTATTAAGGAATGGACTTTTTATGTAGATTTTTTTAAATGCCCAAAGGACTAGTTTGAGAGCCTCTTTTTAAAAAGAATTCCTCTAATCTTCCTTTATTTGAGAAAGGATAATGCATAATAAACTTTTTTATGGTTGATGTACAAGGACTGGGCTTTCCAAAACAGCAATTTTACCTTGTCCCAGAGTGTAATGACAGCCTGGCATTAGCTGACATTACACAGGGTTGGTTGGTTGGTTCTGTTTCTGTGCTAGTCCTGGAGTTTGAACTCAGGGCCTAGGCACTGTCTTTGAGCTTCTTTTGCTCAAAGCTTGTGCTTTACCACTTGAGCCATAGTGCCACTTCTGGCTTTTTCTGAGTAGTTTATTGGAGGTAAGAATCCCACACATTTTTCCTGCTCTGGCTGGCTTCGAACCACTATCCTCAGCTCTTCCACTCCTGAGTGGCTAGTATTACAGGTGTGAGCCACCAGTGCTTGGCAGATACTACACAGTTTTGCCTGACATTATACAGTTCTATAGCCAGTGAGTTGCAGCTGCAGTTTAGAAGCATGAATCGTGGGATAATTAAAGAGCAAGAACTTCATACTGAAGGGGATTATAATTTAGTGAAAAAGGAGACATATTGTGTATTTAATTACTGGCTGCAAGTCTTTTCACCATAGCTCTCAAGCTTTGGGTGAACAGGTGAAATGTATCTTCAACTCCAAGTTAACACTCCAATCCGAAACTTCCTTCACTGAGATTGAGACATTGTATTTGCACTGTATGTATTTTCCTGTGGGCTTTCATTGTCACATTTGCTTTTCCTTTGATACAAGGATTTTTTCAATGTATTCTTCTTTCCCAAAGAAGGTTTATAGAGCCATTGGTTGTAAACCAGAATAATATCCACGGTAGCATATGCAACTTCTAATGCAAGCCTTACTTTGCTTAATTCCTTTCTCTCTCGAGAGTGCACAGCATATGATGCACCTGCGGAACTGTGCAACGTCGTCTCTTTACTTGGGTTTTCCTCAAGATGTAAGCTTTGTCTTGTTTCCAACAAACTGTAAGTTAATTGTTAATGTTCTCTTATAAGGTATTGCAATGACTGTGACTTATTTATTACTTAATACACCTTAAAATATTATTGGTTGAAGAAAACAGGCCATGAAAATTGGTTTCTTGTTCATTTTTCAGTTATTCAAGTACACTTGATCTCTTTACCAGGAGAAACAATGTACCCAGACCTCTAAAATGCTAGTGTGAAGATTTATAAGGGGTACGCTGACAACCCACAGCGGTTTACTTTTCTTTCCTCAACTTGGCCATGAATGTGTTTTTAATTGCGAACAAATCTATTCATTTCCTGTTCTTGTTTTCCATTTTAAAAAGAAAAAGATAATGTTTAGTGTCTTCTCATACTTTTTGAATTAGTAGACTCCTTGGGAATCATTTCAAAAAACACACGAGATCCTTAATAAATATCTTACTATTACACAAGCTCAAGGCTGTTAAGACTGAGTGTCTTTTGTTTGTGTGTCGACCAATACTATGAGACTGTTCTGTTGTATTAAGAGCTTTGTTAAACAAACAGAACAAAAACAAAAACTGGGTGCTGGTGGCTCATACCTGTAATTCTAGCTACTTTCAGGAGGCTGAGATCTGAGGATTGCAGTTCAAAGACAGTCCAGGCAGTGAAAGTCTATGAGGCAGTTATCTCAAATTAACCACCAGAAAACTAGAAATGGGACTGTGGTTCATGTGGTAGAGCATTAGCCTTGAGCAAAAAGAGCTCAAGGGCAGCACTCAGATCCTGACTTCAAGACTCACAGTCAACCAAAAAAAAAAGAAAAAAGATGACTTTAATCAAGATGCATTGCACTCTTAAGTTGAATTGGAATCCCTTTGCACAACTACTTACAGGATAATTTTGAAAATCAAAAATGACTTTAAAAAAGAACAAAGTCAGCATTAAGAGGAAAAAATCACAGGCGATATTTTTTCTATTACGTGTATTTTTTTCTTACTTTTGTACCCTATAACTGTGGACACTATAATGGGCCGTGTGTGTGCGTGTGTGCGTGTGTGCGTGTGTGCGTGTCCTAGGGCTTGAACACTGGTCCTGTGCACCATTCTTAAGCTCTCTTGTTGAAGGCTAATGCTCCACTACTTAAGCCACATCTCCACTTTCAGCTTTTTTTTTTTTTTTGTCGGTCGTGGGGCTTGAACTCTGGGCTTGGGCGCTGTCCGTCAGCTCTTCAGCTCAAGGAGAGCACTCTGCCACTTGAGCCACAGCGCCACTTCTGGTTTTCTAGTGGTTTATTGGAGATATGAGTCTCATGGACCTACCTGCCCGGCCTGGCTTTGAACAGAGATCCTTAGATCTCAGCCTCCTGAGTAGCTAGGATTACAGGCGTGAACCACTGGCCCAGCCACTTTCAATTAAGCACTTTTAGGTGAATTGGAGATAAGAGTCTCATTAATGCTTCTACCTGGTCTGAACTCAAACCACTGTCCTCAGAGCTCAGCCTCCTGAGTAGCTAGGATTATGAGCATGAACCACTGATACCTGGTAATGGGCTATCGGTCGTGGGGCTTGAATTCTGGGCCTGGGCATTGTTCCTCAGCGCTTCAGCTCAAGGCTAGTACTCTACCACTTGAGCCACTGTGCCACTTCTGGCTCTTTCTGTATACGTGGTGCTGAGGAATCGAACCCAGGGCCTCATACATGCAAGGCAAGCACTCTACCACTGAGCCACCTTCCCATCCCTGGGCTGTCTTTTAAGACTCATTCTTACCATCCTTTTAAGGCCTTGTTTTGATGTCATTCTGCCGCACAGAGACAGCACTGAGAACTCTGGGCCTCTGCTATCGGGTCTTGCCAGTTTCACAATTCAGAGGCAAAATCTTGGGTGCAGAGATGTCAAAGCCATGCTCTTCACTCAGCCTGCATGTCCCAAGTTTCTGGTGAGCCCTGCAGTTCCTTCACGGACTGGGAAAGACGTACACGTCAAAGAGGCACGTGAAACAGCTGGCCAAACTAAACCAATATACCATTTTCGTGTTTTTTTTTAATAGCCATTGCATATTTGTAGGAAGGGATTGGAATATGGTGATTTCTGTACTTGACTTGGAAAAATATCTCTCGGAAAACTTTGGAGAAATGTAGTTTGGGGAAACTACTGCTTTTGGGGGACAGATAGAAGGCGGGATTAGCAAGTGGACATATTGGGTGTGGACACTGTTGATTTGGGGAGAAGTTGGTAAGCCAGGGGACTATGGAAGCAGAGTTGGTGCAGAAGGAGCAGTTGCAATTATGGGGTCTTCTGCTTTCCATTTAGGATTATTGGCAGCTTTCTATCCATGTTCACGCTGGTTTGCTTCTAATTCTTGCTTCCCTGTCAGTGCAGTTGATAATAAATGAGGCTCTTCTTACCTTCCCCTATGGCTTCGCTCAAGCGTTTCCTTCCTTTTCCTGTGGATTTTTTTTCTGCCACTTGAGGCACTGTTTCACTTCTAGCTTTTTGGTGGTTAATTGAAAGAGTCCCATGAATTTTTCTTCTTGGAATTCGAATTCTCAGATCTCAGTCTCCTGAATGAACAAGGATTACAGGCTTGAGCCACTGATATTTTGCTTTTCAGATGGCTTTTTAGCTTTTCGACACTAGGTGGTGTGTCACATTCAGAAAAATAGTAGATTCCAGTCTTATTTTAAGGGTCTTGCTATATAGTCCAAGCTGGTCTCCAGTTCTGATGGGTCATGCTGCCTCCACCGCCTGAGTGCTGAATTACAGGCAGGATACATACGCCACCTCTGGTGGTAATAGTTTTGTTTTTGTTTCAAGCTTCCCACAGCTGATTATTTTTTGTAGCAGTTTTATCACAGCTTAAATATTTTTTTCTTAGTGTTTTCAGGTAAGAAAACATGCTCCTTTAATTATTTTAGCTACAGAAAACAGGATGTTTTAGCCTAGCCATGTCTGTAATCCTAGCTACTCAGGAGGCTGAGATCTGAGGACACCAGTTCAAAGCTAGCCCAGGTAAAGAAAGTCTGTGAGACTTTTATTTCCAATGAACCACCAGGAAACAGGAAATAGCGCTGTGGCTCAAGTGGTAGAGCACTCACCTTGAGCTGAAGAACTCAGGGACAGCACCCAGGTCCAGAGTTCAAGCCCCACAGTCAACAACAACAAAAAAAAAAACAGGATGTTTTGTCTTTTTACAAGTAAGTGTAGCAGGTGTTTCATCCCTTACAGATCATGCCAGTGGAGAAAACTGATTTTCAGATCATCTGGGTGTTTCCCTTTCCCCAGAGGTCCTGAAAACCAGAAAGTGTATTCCAAAGGCTACTATGGGACTGATCTCCAGCTGCTTCTGCCCCAAATGCTAGGAAGGGATTCAGTCTTAACCATACAGTTTACCTCCCACCATGAAATTGCAAATTTAGAAATTAACTTTTCATTCGGAAATAACTGCAGACTTACAGGAAAATAACACAAATTCCTATGTATCTTCACATTATCCAAGTGTTATCATTTTAATACATTGTTTTATTGTTTTATACAGAAATGTTTGACTTCAGGCCTGTGCCTCTTTTACTATTGAATGGCATGCGTAAGTTCTCCAAATATAGCTCAGGGCTGGGAAGGTGGCTCAGTGGTAGAGCGCTTGCCTTGCATGCATGAGGCCCTGGGTTCGATTCCTCAGCACCACATAAGCAAAAAGAAAAAAGCCGGAAGTGGCGCTGTGGCTCAAGTGGTAGCATGCTAGCCTTGAGCTGAAGAGCTGAGTAATAGCACCCAGGCCCAGAGTTCAGGCCCCACGACCGGACCCCCCCCCAAAAAAAAACAAAAAAAATATAGCTCAATATCAAAACTAGGAAATTAACAGATACAGAACTGTTACCTTACTAAAATTTTTCATGTGCCCCACTAATATGCTGTGTGTGTGTGTGTGTGTGTGTTGGAACTTGAATTCAGTGCTAGAGTACACTCTCTTAGATTTTTTTGCTCAAGGCTAGCACTCTACCAGTTGAGCCACAGCTCCACTCTGGCTTTTGGTTAATTGAAGGCAAGAATCTCATTGACTTTCCTGCCCAGGCAGGCTCTGAACCACTCCTCAGATCTCAGCCTCCTGAATAGCTAGAGTTATAAGCATAAGTGCTCAGCTACTAAAGTGTTTTATAGTAAAGAAACTATTATTTTCCTGCTGCAGGATTCCAATCTATAATCACATTGAAGGGCCTTCTTACCTTCCCATATGGCTCTAAGGGAGAGTGCAAGGCCCTGAGTTCAAACTCCAGTACTGGAAGAAGTCATGTAGACACGATACACACACACACTCTCTCTCTCTCTCTCTTTTTCTCTCTCTCTCGGAAGTAGCATTGGCTCTAGACTTGGGCCTTGCATCTGCCACCAACAAGGCTACCTTTTAGGGCTGAACCACAGCTGTCCTACACCCCAGGACACAAGACCAATTCCAGCCTGAATCCAGCACTTTTGAAATTTGGTCCCCAGGGGTCCCTGACAAGCTGTGACCTCTTTAGCCAAGTTGCACAGATGTGCTTCCTCTGCAAAGAACTGCTCTGTCCCTTTCCTACTAGACGCAAAATCTTGCCCATACCCTTCCTGCTACAGTCTGCCCTCCAAACTTTCGTAGCCACAGATTCATCCCCGCATGGACTGAACATATACAAAAACATTCCACCTGTCCTGAACATGGACAGACCTGTTCTTACCACTTTTCCTGCACCAGTACAGCCACTATGTATACAGCATCTGTGTTGTTTTAGGGTTTATAAGTAATTTAGAGATGACTTACATGTAGAAATGATTTACATACAGAAATTTACATATAGGGTATGTGCAAATAGTAACCCATTGTATACAAGGTACTGGAACATGAGCAACTTTGGTATCAGAGGACCCCGTGATGCTGTGGGGCAACTGTATTCATATCCTCCACTCCTCGCTGGGCCCATCAGAGGAAGTGCTTTTATTTTCAATACCTTCAATGATCCAAAGAAAGTCTATAATTTCTCTTTTCCTAAGTTTGGCTAACTCAAAGTGTACCTAACAGGTAAGACAGATGCCTCACAAAGACTCACCTGTATGGCAGAAGGGGAGGTGGTGGAGCTGGACATTTAAAAAAATTGTATGGGGGCTGGGAAGGTAGTTCAGCGGTAGAGTGCATGCCTTGCAAGCATGAGGCCCTGGGTTCAATTCCTCAGCATCACATAAACAGAAAAAGCCGGGAGTGGCGCTGTGGTTCTAGTGGTAGTGCGCTAGCCTTGAGCTGAAGAGCTGAGGGACAGCGCCTAGACCCAGAGTTCAGGCCCCATGACCGGCAAAAAAAAAAAAAAAAATTGTATGTATATGTATGTATGTAGTCAGCCTGGAGCTCTTTTGCTCCAGGCTAGTGCTCTACCACTTTGAGCCACAGCTCTACTAATGACTTCCTATAATTCATTGAAGAGTGTCATGGACTTTGCTTCCCCAGGCTGGATTTAAACCATAATCCTCAGATCTCAGCCTCCTGAGTAGGATTACAGGCATGAGCCACCGGCACCCAGCCTATTTTTATTCTTTTTGTAGTGCTTGGATTGAATCCAGAACCCCATCCCTAGCTCAGTCCTTTGAATTCTTGTTGCCTTGGGTGCCCAAATACACACTGTTTAGCAAGAAAGCTACATTTCGTTTTGTGTATGTACCAGTACTTGGGCTTGAACTTAGGGCACTAAGTTAGTGCCTAGTCACTATCTTACAGCTCAACCTGGAGCTTTACCACTTAGGCCATTCTTCCACTTCTGGCTTTTTGATTGTTAATTAAAAAGTCTCACCGGGTGCTGGTGGCTCACACCTGTAATCCTAGCTACTCAGGAGGCTGAGATCTGAGGCTCGTGGTTGAAAGCCAGCCTGGGCAGGAAAGTCCAAGAGACTTTTATTTCCAATAAACCACCAGAAGTGGTGCTGTGGCTCAAGTGGTAGAGCACTTACCTTGACCTGAAGAGCTGAGGGACAGTGCCCAGGCCCAGAGTTCAAGCCCCATGACCAACAAAAAAAAGTCTAATAATAGGCTGGCTTTGAACTGTGATCCTCAGATTTTAGCCTTTTTTTTTTTTTTTTGCCGGCACAGATCTCAGCCACTTGAATGGCTAAGATTACAGGCATGAGCTGCTGACACCAGCTCAAAAAGTAGCTAGATTTCTTAACAGCAGTTCAGGGCTCAAAAGAGGAAGAAGAAAAGGTGACACCACCAAGTAACGCTACAAGTGTTACTAACCTACAGACAAATCTCTTCCCACTGTCAGGACAAAGTCATCCACAGGACTTCTTGTGAAAGCAGATCTCATGGCTACCGACCTTGTGTGGGAGTTGGGGTGAGCCTATACGAATCTTCCCAAATATTGAGTCACACAAATGGGTTTACATTAACCAGCATTAAAACCAAGTTCAACACAATTAGATCTGTGGCCTGGGTGCATAACACTGCCGACAGTGCCTTAGCTAATTCATCACTCACAACCCCACCATCAATGAATGACTCATCATGAGAACCAAGTTCTATTGTCAACTGCTGAAAAATCCCTTCCACTTTTCTAGGAACCAAGTGACACCAGGAGAAAGTTCATACTGAGTTTCTTTGACATGTCATCAGCTCTCTTGGGTGTTACTTAAGAAAACAAAAGTATAGATACAATATTTTACAAAAAGGAAAGATTGCAGAAAATAGGCTGAAATATAGGTGAGTGGAAACAAAAAGACTTTCACATACTCTTAAAAAAACTTTATTTCCAACTTTTAGAAAGACAAGTTATTAGGCAAATATGTACAAGACAATTTTTTTTTTGTGGGTCATGGGGCTTGAACTTAGGTCCTGGGTGCTGTCCCTGAGCTTTTTCACTCAGGCGAGCACTGTACCACTAAGCCACAGCACCATTTCAGGATTTCTGGTAGTTAACTGAAGAGTCCCATGGACTTTTCTGCCCAGGCTGGCTTTGAACCACAATTCTCAGATCTTAGCCTCTTGAGTTACAGGATTACAGGTATGAACCACCATCACTGGCTCCTTTTTCTTTTGGTGGTGCTGGAAATGGAGCCCAGGGCTCACAGGTGCTGGGTAAGTGCTGGATCACTGTGCTCCACTCCTAGTCTATGATTCATCACATTTTAAGCTAAAAATGTGAAGAGGCCACTAAGAGTCCACTGTGTGGCAGCTTGGGATAGCTCATCTTCCAGAAGAAGAGGATGTGGTCTTTTGATGGCCAGGACTTACCAATAATGAAGAAAAACATCCCAGTAGACCTCCTCCACGTTACCAACAGGTAATTACATGTTTAGTGTTTAAGAGAAACCTTCAGTTTTCTGAGATATTTCTATAGAAACATGCCAGAAACTTGTATGCTTCAGAGAGTTCTTAGAGAAAAAAAAAAACAGAATCTGTGTGACCCCTGAGATCTCACATGCCTTGTTAGGCATCATCAGAAGTTAGCGAGGCGGAGGTGTGGCACACTGGGCTCTGAGGTGGGGCGGGATGTCTGCGGCTTCCCCGCCCCGGGTCCCGTGCCAGCAGGCTGATCAGCGCTCTGATTCAAGTGTCTGGAGAACATCTTCCTTTGCTGGAAATGAAATGACTGACACAGAGTCCCAGGTATCCTCTGGTGAGCTTTCTTTGTCCAAAGCCTCTAAGATAGGTAGAACTGGGTCCTTCAAATACTAGAGAAGGTTGAAAACAAAGACTGTAACTAGGCTATCAGTTCTACGTACCAGACCTTTACTTCCAGTTCCTATATTCATATTTTTTGGTGTATGCTAGTTCTAGGAACTACCTTAGGATTTGTGCTCAAGGCTGGTGCGCTACCATTTGACCTACACCTCAACTTTTGGATTTTTGTTATTAAGAGTCTCGTGGAGGGCTGGGAAGGTAGCTCAGTGGTAGAGTGCTTGCCTTGCATGCCTGAGGCCCTGGGTTCGATTCCTCAGCACCACATAAGCAGAAAAAATAAAAAAGCCGGAAGTGGCGCTGTAGCTCAAGTGGTAGAGCGCTAGCCTTGAGCTGAAGAGCTAAGGGACAATGTCCAGGCCCAGAGTTCAGGCCCCACGACCGGATCAAAAAAAAAAAGTCTCGTGGATTTTCCTGCCTCAGCTGGCTTTGAACCATGATCCTCAGACCTCAGACTTCTGAGTAGCAAGGGTTACAGCATAAGCCATCAATGCTCAGCTGCTACAGTCACATTTTATTAAGGTATAACTTTTTTCTATTAGTGAAATAATTTTGTGTCGTGTGCTGGTCCTGAGGCTTGAACTCGGGATCTCTAGGCACTGTCTCTGTACTTGTTTTGCTCAAGGCTAGCAGTCTATCACTTTGAGCCACAGTACCACTTCCTTTTTTGTGTGTGTATGGTTAATTGGAGATGGCCTCATGGACTTTCCTGCCTGGGCTGGCTATGAACCACAATCCTCAGATCTTAGCTTCTTGAGTAGCTAGGGTTACAGGCATGAGCCACTGATGTCCAACTTAAAATAATTTTTTTTTTGTGGTACTGGGAATCCAACCCAAGGCCTAGCACATGCTATATAGTGCTCTACCACTGAGCGGCCCTCCTAGCACTGAAAAACTTCCTGATACTTGAGTCCTAATTAGTCATAACTATAATACGAATCCAAGGACCAACTACATTTGCCTACCGAAGTTTAAAAAGGGCTGAACTTAGGGCTTGGAAGATGGCTCAGTGGTAGAGCGCTTGCCTTGCATGCATGAGGCCCTAGGTTCGATTCCTTGGCACCACATAAGCAAAAAGAAAATAGCCGGAAGTGGCGCTGTGGCTCAAGTGGTAGAGCGCTAGCCTTGAGCTGAAGAGCTGAGGGACAGCACCCAGGCCCAGAGTTCAGGCCCCACGACTGGACCCAAAAAAAAAAAGGGACTGAACTTTGAGGACCCAAGTAGGAATCCATGCTGAGGGAAGATGACTAATAGCACATTTAGTAACACATTTCAAAAATGTTAACTTTTCAGTAACAGAGGAAGAGGACCTTTTGTCACGCCGTGCTGGGGCGTGAAGAAGAGCGCGCAGCGCGGCTCTCGGTCCCTTCCTTCCACCTGTGGCTTCTACCCTGCACAAAACAACCCGAAACACATAGTGGGCGGAGTTCTGGCCTCAAGTCCTTAGGCCCACATGGTTGCTCTGGAAGAGTGTGTCAGGGGTGTCCTCAATGTGGAAGGAAGTCTCCTAACATTAAGCTTTCTCCTTTACTCCTCCTGTGCCACGGATTTACCACATTACTGAGAAACAAGTACCTTGAAAACACACACACACGCACAAATACTGTCAGTTTGTGGTTGATTAAAAGAGGAACGAAATGGAATCACGTGCCTTTGTGAAACCTCAGAAATCAAAGTGAAACATGATTCATTTGTATCATGTAACTCCAGCAACTTTTGGTTAAGTGTGTAGCACACTTTGTCAAGAAAGTGAATGGAAAGATGGTGTTCCAGGTTCATAGCCCAGAGGAACCACTCGCAAATGCACCAACCAGGGCCCAGCTGCTGTTCCGCTGACAGAGATTGTTTGTTTTTTTTAACTTTATTTTCTTTTTTGGGGTGCACGTCCTGGGGATTGAACTCAACGCCTGGGCTCTGTCCCTGAGCTGCTTTTGCTCAAGGCTAGCACTCTATCACTTGAGCCATAGCTCTACTGGCTTTTTTGATAGGTTATGAACTTTCCTGCTGGGGCTGTCTTTGAACCTCGATCTTTAGATCTCAGCCTCCTGAATAACTAGCACTGGCACGTGGCTGAAAGATTATTAATGCCAGGTAAAATTCTGAGACCCACCAAGAGCTGTTATGTGATGACAGTGCTAACTAGCGAGCTTCTAGTAGGGATTGTGATCATGCCTGTGCTCTTTATTTCAATGATTATTTCAACCTGGACGCACTGCTCAACATATTTTTTTTTGTCTGTCGTGGGACCTGAACTCGGCCTGGGCACTGTCCTTGAGATCTTCAGCTCAGGCTAAAGCTCTACCACTTGAGCCACATTGCCACTTCTGGCTTTTTCTGCTTATGTAGTGCTGAGGAATCAAACCCAGGATCTCATGAATTTAAGGCAAGCACTCTACCACTAAGCCATCTTCCCAGCCCTTGCTTGTGCTCTTTAAATACATCAGGAACAAGGCAGAAGAAACAAGGACTATGGTAGACCACAAGGAGATTGTGCTGCTAGATTGTGCTCTAGAGTTACTCACATCTACCTATACTTTATCATACATGCATACCTATGTATACATACATATTTAATTGGCACACATTAGCTATACAAAATATTGAGTTTCATAAAAATACTTTTGTGTGTGTATGCTAGTACTGGGGCTAGGTGTTCTTCTCTTGAGTAAACCATGTTTTTTGTTTGCTTGTTTATTTTATGCCAGTCCTGGGGCTTGAACTCAGGGCCTGACCACTATTCCTGAGCTTTTTTGCTCAAGGCTAAAATATACTGCTTCTGGCTTTTGGTGGCTAAATGGGGATAGCAGTGAGTCTCACAGACTTTGCTTCCTAAGCTGTCTTTGAATCTTTCTTTTTGTTTGTTTGCTTTTTTGGTACTGGGGATCAAACCCAGGACTTTGCACTTGCTAGGCAAGCGCTTTGACACTGAGCTACATTCTAGCCCTGTCCTTGAATTTGATCCTCAGATCTCAACCTCCTGGGTAGCTAGGATTATAGGCATGAGATACCAGCACCCAGCTTTTTTGACTAAGTTTTTAATCTTAAAAGTGTCCTGAGTCTTTAGAAGATCCAACTATATCCTAGAGCCCCAAGGGCTGGAACCGTGCAGGAAAAGACCACAAGCCTGCTTCAAATCCTATAAAATACTGGTGTCTATACTGAGCATTGATGTACAAGGCTGTGTGGTCACACTCTGGGATTGTTTCATTTCCCTATGTTCTGTGCACATACATTCCCACGTGTACTGTCTACTCTAGGCTGATGATCTGCATTACAGCCTCTCCTCCTTCCTGAAGGTGAAGTGTGGCTTCACAGCATCCAGCCAGGCGCTGCTGGGCACTGTCCTGAGAACAAGATCCCTGTGCTACCTTGAGCCATCAACCCCTGGCTTTCTACGCCATGTTTTAACTCAGAGCTCTGCGTTCACGGTTTTGTCCACTGCTGCTCACTGTGGGGACAGTGGACACCGTCAGATATGACCCATTTGTGCATACTTACCTCTTCTATTTGTGATGGGATTCTTGGTGGAGTGTGAAACCAGTATTTCACTTGGCTTTTATATCTGAACAGCAAGTGAGCAGACAGTGCCAGTAATACTAAAAAGATGGCCACAGAGATCAGGGCCACTTGTTGCACCTTGCTGGAGGCTAAAAAGACCAAGAGAAGTGAAAATGACGGTTACGCACGTGATGTAAATAAACATCAGTTCATTATTCACCCATTACTGCTTAAACAATGATCAGGTCCCAATAAAAGGAACAGATCTCTCGCTCTCTGTCCCTGCCTTGTATGCCTAAATTATTAGAGGGTGAGCGTCCTTTATCCAAAAATCCGAATTGCAAAATCCTCCAAAATCCAACCCTCCTGAAAACTGGTACCATGCTTCAACTGCAAAAATGCCACATTTGAACCAATGTGACAGATCACTGTCAAAACAGAGCTGTTGTATCATATAAAATAGACATGAAGCTGGGCACCAGTGGCTCACGCCTGTCATCCCAGATCTGAGGATCAAGGTTCAAAGCCAGTCCTGGCAGGAAAGTCCATGAGACTCTTATCTCCAATTAGCTATCAGAAAACCAGAAGTGGCGCTGTGGCTCAATTAGTAGAGCGCTAGCCTTGAGGTGAAGAGCTCAGGGACTGTTCCAAGGCCCAGAGTTCAAGCCCCATTACTGACAAAAAAAAAAAAAAATCACACATGAAACATAAATGAAAATTGTGTTTAGACTGGGTCTTATCCTCAAAGACATCTCAAATGTATGTAAAAATTCTGAAATCTGAAAACAAAAACTCTAGAATCTGAAATATTTTCGTTCTCAAATATTTAGGTTAAAAATACCCAACTTGCACCCAGACAGGGTTAATCTATAATAAAATAAGGGAGCTGTCGGCAGCCCATGCTACTATAGATTGTAGCATATGCTCACAGTATTGGCAGTTGAGTACTATATATTTTTTTCTAGTGCCAGGAGTTGAACTCAGGGCCTCTCACCACGTAAGCTTCTGGTGGTTTATTGGAGACAATAGTCTCATGGACTTTTCTGCCTGGGCTGGCTTTGAACCGCAATCCTCAGCCTCCTGAATAGCTAGGGCTTCAGGTGTGAGCCACTGGTGCCTGGCTTCAGTGAAATACTTCTGTCTGGGTCTCTGTTTCTACTTTCTATCATCTTGTAAGCACTCCCTAGTTAAACTACTTTGGGAAATTCTTTTTTGTTGTTGTTGTTGGTTGTGGGGCTTGCACTCTGGGCCTGGGCACTATCACTGAGCTCTTCAGCTCAAGGGAAACACTATACCACTTGAGCCACAGCACCACTTCTGGTTTGCTGAGTGGTTTATTGGAGATAAGAGTCTCAAGGACTTTCATGCTTGGGCTGGCTTTGAACCCCGATCCTCAGATCTCAGCCTCCTGAGAGGCGCCACCGGCACCCAGCTCAGCAGGGAAATTCTTTATCTTGGCTTATAGAAGCTAGAAAGAGGGTGTAAGAAAGCATGCTTTACCTTTTGCCATTGTTTCATAGCAAGATATGTTGCTTAAACGTCCAGGTCTAGAGGTTTGCAAAGACAAACGTGCCTCAGCTTGTAAACAGTACACTTTTAACGGCTTCAAATTATCCAACAAGATGGTACTGCAGGTCATGGGGCCTTTTACCTGTATTAATGATACCACAACCACACAGGTAAACCACCTGCGGAGACAGGATCAAGCTGCTTCTAGCTTTTCCAGTGTTTACTCAGATTCACTAGACACAACCAAAGAGTTAGACGATGTTTTAGAATCACTAGCTTGCAGAGGTCAAGTTCTGTCTGCAAAAACTGGTCAGTCGAGTCATGAAAAATGCTGACACTTTAGGGCTTTGAGGCCTAGGAAGCTCCATTGTAACAAGCACAAGCACACACACACACACACACACACACTTTTTGGTACTAGTAGTGGGGCTTTAATTCAGAGCCTCTTGTTTACCCTTAGCTTTTTGTTCAAGATTGGTGCTCTACCACTTGAGCCACAGCTCTTCTTCTGACTTTTTGGTGGTTAACTGGTTTGAACCTCTATCTTCAGAGAAAGGTGCAGAGTAGTTAAGATTACACATGCAAGCCAATGGTGTTCAGCTACAAGTAGAAACTTAAATCTTAGTTTTGGTCGTGGGTTTTGAACTCTGGGCCTGGGCACTGCCCTTCAACTCTTCAGCTCAAGGCAAGCGCTCTACAGTTTGAGCCACAGTGCCACGTCTAGTTTTCTGGTGATTAACTGGAGATAAGAGTGTCATGGGGGCTGGGAAGGTGGCTCAGTGGTAGAATGCTTGTCTCCCATACATGAGGCCCTGGGTTCTATTCCTCAGCATCACATAAAGCAGAAAAAGCCGGAAGTGGCACTGTGGCTCAAGTGTTAGAGCGCTAGCCTTGAGCTGAAGAGCTGAGGGACAGCGCCCAGACCCAGAGTTCAGGCCCCATGACTGACAAGAAAAAAAAAAAAGTCTCATAGACTTTTCTGCCTGGCTGGCTTTGAACCATGATCCTCAGATCTCAGCCTCCTGAGTAGCTAGGAGTACAGGTGTGAGGCACGGCACCCAGCTTACTTAGGCCTTTCTTGGAAACTGTTCAAACTACTTACATAGTAAACTTGCAGACTGCAGTAGTGAATTCCTTTTCTGGGACATGGAAAGTGACTCTGAGAATGCTGTTATCTAAGGGAGACAAAGCCTGTTGACAAGGCAGCCTTGACCCAGGCTCGCCCATGTGTGTTTTGGACGCTTTCCAATCATTAAAGTGGACCTCCACAAGACTGTTTGTGGACAGCTATGGCATGACTCAAACTGAACACAAACAGGTCCAGCAACACCTCCCTACCCAAGCCTAGATGTGGCAAAGGCATCATGGGTAGCATACTAAGTCTAGGCCTCAAAGGGGAGAAATGGGTGACAGCATTCTTTTAGTCCACCTGGCCAGGGTCTGAGGTGCGGGGACAGCAGGGGGGGGTGGGGAGGAGTCTCAACACAATGTGCATAATGATGAATTTTGACAATGAGAATTAAAGCAGGCTCAGGAAGCCAGAGCCTGGTGGCTCATACCTGTAATCCTAGTTATTCAGGAGGCTAAGATCTGAGGATCACAGTTCAAAGCCAGCCCTGGCAGAAAAATCTGTGAAGATTCTTAATTAATCACCAAAAAGGCCAGAAGTAGAGCAGTGGCTCAAATGGTAGAGTGCCAGCCCTGAGTGAAAAAGCGCCCAGGCCTTGATTTCAAGCCCTAGTACTGGCTCCGGGTGTCCGTGGCTCACACCTGTAATCCTAGCTACTCAGGAGGCTGAGATCTGAGGATCCTGGTTCAAAGAGACTCTTATCTCCAGTAAACCACTCAGAAAACCAGAAGTAGTGCTATGGCTCAAGTGGTAGAGCACTAGCCTTGAGCTGAAGAGCTGAGGGACAGCGCCCAGGCCCAGAGTTCAATCCCCACAACTGACAAAAAAAAAAAAAAATTAGGCTCAGGCCCTGAACTCAGCAGTCCACAGAGGCCAGGGCTAACACTTCTTTCACAACTCCACCTGGGCCCCACCAGAGCTCACCCACTTTCCAGAATCACTACACTGAGCAGATCTCAAGGAGATGGATTTCTACCACGGATTTGAGACACTGGGAGTTCCTGCTCTCCTGGCCCAACGTTCATGTTTTCTTTCTTCTCCTAAGTCAGAAAATCAAAAGCCAAGCAAATCAAAGAAGAAAAATGCTCTTGCCTGTTGGACTCCTGCTTCTTCCCAGTAATGGATGTAATAGACAAACACGATCCCGCACTTCCTAGGGAGTTCAAAGGGAGAGGAGAGCCTGATGAGAAGGGAAGCTGCTTCTGGGGTCACCAACATGTCTTTTGGAGGCCCGATCGTAACTGAAATAGAATTACAAACACAACACCATACATATGCATAGAAAGCACGTGCGCGTGCGCGTGCAGTACATATTATAATCTCTACACACACACACACACATATATATATATTTATATATTCTCTCCCCTCCCCTCCCATCCCTCTTCCTCTTCTCTGATACCAGGACCTCACACCTGCTAGGCAGGTACTCTACTACTTAAGACATACCCCTAGACCAAAAGGGGGGGAAATGTATTAGCCTTTACCTATTCCAGTAGAAATGAACAAAATTGGTCTTAACTTTCTTCTTACTATTATTCTTGGGTGAGGGTGTCTCTAGGTTCCTAGACTCATCCAACTCCTGAGCTCCAATGATCTTCCTGTCTAGAGGAGACAACAGGAAAGTGCCACTACCTCTGGATTCTAGTCACTAACTTTTGTCTGTGAGGTTCTTGTAAATTGGAACATAACCCAGAAACGATGCCCTGGCTGTCTGTTTAAGGCTTTTCCCATAATACACAGGACAGGACAGTCAAGGACTGTGTTTTATGGAGCACCAGAAATGCAAGCGCATGTTGTGCCTGGTCCAGTTAACCAGGGGAAACTCAGATCCAAGTACAGGTTGTGTCCTTCATATTCTAAGAGATTTATTTCGGCCCATTTTCCAGAAGGAGGCAGCCCCATGGATGTCAACCATGAGTGACACGCTCACACTGCGGGGGCTGGATTTCGCGTATGCTTCCACACTCTCCCTTGGGCGCTGACACACATAGTCTGGCCTATCTCTCTGTGAGAAAGCAACTGGTCCTCATGCGTTCCCTCTGGTTTCACTTGTTCTGGTGGAGCAGCTGCGTCCGACAATGCTGGGCTGGCAGTGAGGACCAGCCCGCCCTCTGCCAGCCAGGGGGAGCTTGAGGACAAAGAGCTCTTTCACTGAAGCCTCTCAGATCCCCGGCACTTCCATTCTCCAGCTTCCCTTTTCACAGTGAAGTGAGCACAACGAGGAAGGCCGGCCGGCGTCGGGGCCTGGCACCAGCTGCAGGACTCTCACCGCACGGGACACCTCCTTCAGTTTGTGTCTGTGTCCACATGGACACGGCATGGACACATGGACACCAGCCACTTGGCCGCTGAAAGGACGAAGCTCAGATCTGCCTTCTGAAGAGAGGAGGGACTGGGACTGTCATCCAAGGCATAAGCCTCATCTAAAGGTGGAGATCAGCCATGTTTCAAAGCACTGAAGGAAGAAGGGCCCGCTGGGACAATGGGCAGCCAGCGGGGCAGCTGCCAGGGCACCAAGGACACAGCTGGTGTGTTCACATGCAGCCATCCATAGCATAGACAGGCACCACTCCTAAAGGTGAGGAAGCTCGCCCGGCACAGGTGGCTCATGCCTGTCATCCTAGATACTCAGGAGGCTGAGATGGGAGGATTGCATGAAGCCATGTGAGACTCTTATCTCCAATTACCTGGCAAAAACCTAGAAGTGGAGGCATTGTTCAAGTATTACAGCACCAGCCTTGTACAAAAAAGCTAAGGGAGACTGTGAGGTCCTAAGCGCGTGCACGCACGCGCGCACACACACACACACACACACACACACACACACACTAAATTTTAGAAAGATGGAAGAAACTGGCAGAGGGCTGGGAAGGTGGCTCAGTGGTAGACTGCTTGCCTTGTGCATGAGGCCCTGGGTTTGATTCCTCAGCATCACATAAGCAGATAAAAAGTCAGAAGTGAAGCCGGACACTGGTGGCTCATGCCTGTAATCCTAGCTACTCAGGAGGCTGAGATCTGAGGATCACGGTTCAAAGCCAGCCCGGGCAGGAGAGACCGTGAGACTCCTATCTCCAATAAACCACCAGAAAACCGGAAGTGGCGCTGTAGCTCAAGTGGTAGAGC